AGTTTTCAATTTGGCTGACTTCTGACCACTGAGATACTTAAAAAATCCTTTGAAATATCTTGCCAGAAAAACGAACAGACAAACAAACAAACAAACAAAAAAGCACATCGGTTTCTGCCCAGGACAGACAATAAATATTCCTGGCAGTATTGAAGGACGCATAAACCCAAGAGGCATTCTCAAAGAGGATGGAGAAGATATTACCTCCCAAGATCCAGAGCCACTCTCAAAGATAACCAAAAGAAAGAGACATTTCTTTTTGGCTGTTTAAGGATATAATGTATCAGTTTACCAGAAAATCCCCCTTGCTTCTATTAACCCTGACAGGGGCCCATATGGGGGCCCTACTTCAAGAATATATTTGGGGGTGTCTGTAAGGCCACTAACTTGGTGGACTTTTGTTTATGGTCCTTTTGTCTCTTCAGAGTGGAAGACAATTCAGACAGGATTAGTAGACTGAGTACTCAGGTAAAGGAGGACAGAGGGAAGCAGTAGGAGTTACCTCAGTCTGTTAGTCCTGTTTTTTTATATCTTTAATTTGTCTTTAGGCTTTTGTAGCAAATACTTCATTGAAGCTATTTTGGAATTTTGAAAACTTCTGGAGGCTTCTGCATGCCAATTAAAATTGATATCCCATTCTATTTTTTTTTTGTTTTGGGAATTCTTATTTTCAAGTGTACTTCTTAAATGAACGATCTTGTCTAATTGGAACATTCCCCATAATGACCATTGCAATTCTAGGTTGTCATTAGTAAGATTTTTTCATTTTTGTAGGTATCTATGGGTTCTGAGACCCACATTTCTTAGACAAAAAATAAGCAGGTGTACCAGAAGGTGGCACTCTCAAATCTTTGGAATGTAAGGATCCCATTTCTTATAGGTAAGCCTTGGGTTTCTCAGAGCAAAGTTAATAATACCTAACAGGGATGTGTCACTGCATTGAGGATTGTGTGGCATTTTACATGGAAATTTTCTTAAGGTTGGCAGGTGACCCAGTGTCAATCTAACTCCATTCCATGGCCACCTAATCCTAACATGAGAGTCTTAGAGTTAGGTGGCAAGTGCCCTAACAGCTTTTAAGTGCTTGACCCATGTCCACCAATTTTGTTGTTTTGGCTTTCAAGATTCCCATTAGCAATAGCCTTTACTTCATATTCCCATTAACAGAAACCAACAGTAACCTGGACAAGAGATGGCATTGTGTGCCCCACCAGCAATTTCCAATGTGGAACTGAGGACTGGGGAAAGGACCCAACAAATGGGGACTGCAGACTGGGATTCCAATCAAATGAAAAACTGCAGACTGAGCCACCCGCTGTTCTCAATATGGCATCTGGGTACTGAACCAAGAACTAGGGGCTTAGGTTCTGGTGGAACTATCTGTTACCTTAACCTGAACTGACCTGGACTAGAAAGCCAGTTGGATCAGGAGCTCAGTGCAAAGAAAGCAGAACTCAAAACTGAGAGGAACGTACCTCTTGGCCCTAGGAAATGGAAAGAAGAACCAAGAATTCAAAGGATTCATGAGTAACAGTGCCTGTGTTTCTTGTTATCCCCCAAAACACACACATTTTGTTTGGATCCTGTCACTGACACCAAAACTGTTAAAAAACAAAACAAAACAAAATTCAACTCAGTTAATTCTAAAGATCTTATTGCCTTTATTCAGTGATTCATGAATTGGGCAGCATTCCATCTAGCAGATAGAAAGGGGCTCTGAGAAACTATAAAAATGAAGGACTCTCATAGGCCAAAGGGAGCAGGACTAAGAAATTATATTAGTAAAAGGCAGATTGATTGTGACAAGGTCACTTTCCTTCAGGGGATGATGGGGTCTATCAGGCAGATTACCTTATTAGTGCTGACCAGGTGATTCCTTATTGACTGGTTTAAGATTCCATTTCTGGGAGTGGCCAAAACACTAATTAAGTTAAATTGTGGTTTGGTGAAATGAGGCTTAGCGTAAGTGGCTCCATTTTGGACCTTTTGTCTTAAAATTTTTAACACACTATAATGAAGCTAGGTATGGATATACCCTGCCCTTCACTTGGGTGAAGGGTGTGTGTGTCTATGTACATTTGTAGGTAATGCCAGGACAACTCTTTCCAGTAAAGTCCTCCACACAACGTCTTTTGTCACTCTTAACTCTCTTGGCCCTTTTATGCCCTCACAATGTGTTCAAGGGACACAGTATATAATTGATTTTTGACAACATCTTTTGTAAAATTTGCATATGATTTAGTATCTGCTTTGGAATATAGCATCTATTAGATCTTAGTACTTAAGAGAAAACTTGCATTTTCATTGGTTATTACACCATAAATGTGGGTAACATCATGAGATTTTTTCCAATCCACTATCAAAAGCTGTTCTCATGGCTATATTCCAACAAAGGAAAATTTATACATACATGCACAAAAATACATATATATACACACACACACATATGTCACATGTACCACATATTCATCTTATTTTAAAAAGTTAGAAAATATAAATAGACAAAAAATCATAAAAAATGAAATGAAATCCATCCAAAATTCATCTCCCAGGAAAATTTGTACATTTTATTTTGCCCCCACGCAAGTAAGAATATGCACAGAAATAGACTCCCTTAATTATCCTCTAGGACCTGTGTTCTCTGCCTCTACTTTCTTTACTTTACACATTGTGGTCATCATTCCCTGTCAGCAAATACAAGCGATTTTATCTTAATGGCAGCACGTATTCTAATCATGAATATATTTATATTTCCTGAACTGACCCTCCATCATTGAATATTTGGGTGGGATTTTTGTTTCTGTGTAAACTACACTACTATGAACAAATTATATGTGTATCATTTATGTTTGTTTCCTTAGAAAGGTACACCTCTTTCATTAACCAAATAATATTGCCTCTTTGGGTGTTCATTTGCATTTCAATAGGTTTTAAACCTTAAGCCAAAAGTATACATTTCTAAAATAGAATTCAGGTATCAGTTAATGGGAAAGGGATATATTTGGGGGATATATTATCTCTTTCTGTTCCTTGAAAAATCTTAGTAATTAGATAATTGCCTGTTTCTGCCTACTCACAAATCTGAGTCAAATTATTTCTGTTATTTCTAAGATTAGCCCTCCTTATTAGTATATTGGCAGTTATTCTAAAACCAAGAAATATTTCTAAAAATACTCATTTTCACTGATCCATAGCAATTCTAGATACTTATGTAAAATTTATTTAAACTTCTCACACCTGCTAAGTTAGGTTAGTAATCTTATCTAGCATTCTCTCTCTCTATTACATTGGTTCATTCTTTTGGTTGTTCCAAAAATTCTCTGCCAGAGGATTATGAAATAAACAAGTAACGAAGAGAAGCAAAATGGAAGGTGATGCATCATTATTTATTTATTTTTTTTCAAAGTCTATTGCAAGTTGAAGGAAGGTATAGGCTTTTTAAAATACATATTTCAGGTGTTTCATCATTTCATCCTTCCTAATTTTGAGGATATTTTGCAAATTTTAGATAAATACCATAGCGATATAGAACTCACATGCTTTTGTTTTTCTGCAATTGCACATTATAAGTAACTTGCATAAGAAAAATTTGCATTATTAATGTAGATGATTTTAAAATACAGTGACTGCACTAAGGAGGTCAATTATGCTCCAGAATAATACTTTTATCGAAGTAACATTTAGTCTCTCTTAGATATTTGCACATTGGTTAATATAGTATTAAAGACAACCACTTTAAGGCTAAGAATGTACATTTTTAGAAAGTAATGATCTAGACTGTTCAATAAGATGTGCAAAATTACAGAATGTATTTACTATCAAAAGCTGGGAATTGAAAAATTAAACCTAAAATTTTAAAAATGACTACCTTCAAAAGTGACCTAATTACATTTTCCCCTTAAGTACAATTGTTTCTCTATGTGATCTGCTTTAAAAAATATATAAATAAATAAACTGACAGGACGCCTGGGTGGCTCAGTTGGTTAAGTGACTGCCTTTGGCTCAGGTCATGATCCTGGAGTCCCAGCATCGAGTCCCACATCGGGCTCCCTGCTTGGCAGGGAGTCTGCTTCTCCCTCTGACCCTCCTCCCTCTCATGCTCTCTGTCTTTCATTCTCTCTCTCGCAAATAAAATCTTTAAAAAAAAATTTTAAAAATTTAAATAAATAAATAAATAAACTGACAGCAACAAAAATGAAACTCAAACTGTTTCTGTTAAAAAAAGATAATAAATCTGTGATATGTGCAGGAAAAAAAAAAAAAGCCAAGGCAACTTTTAAAAACTGCTAATTGGATAATAGAGAGCCAATATTTTACTTAATATTTGATATCACTGAATGGAACTCCTTGTCATAAGGCTTTCATAATATATATATTATTGGAGAGAAAAAAAAAAAAAAGTGGTCCTGTGCCTTTAATTTCCCTTTCTGAGAGAGGGAAGGCTGCACACCACTGACAGGCTCACTTGTTCCCATCTTTAATGTGCAATCTGTTTTCTCCAGCGGAGGGCACTCAGTGTATCACAAACTCAAGCATTAGCACCAACAAGCTCTGAGCATCATCAGTCTCTGGAAAGCCTTCTGAATTAGACAAGGGCTGCCTCTCAGCACAGCTACAAAACACTTTAAACCTGACCAGCTAAATGGATAAACCTAGCCTGCATAGCTTTTAAACTGGGGTCTCATACAGCACAGGAGGCCTACTTGCTTCAAGAACTGAAAATCCAGAGGATGAATTGCTTTATCTGGGAATGGCAAAAGCCAGCACAATAAGGAATGCCAGGTATTCTGAAGATTTTCTTTTCTTTTCTTTTCTTTTTTTTTTTTTACCTCTCTTTTTACAGAGAAGTTGGTTACCTTCGAAATGGGCTGTAGCTTTTTTGCACAGATTGCCAATTACTGCTGATGGGTCTCTGGTGAATTACACAATGGTCCTCAGAGCTTAGAGGTCCTCCCCCTCCCCCCGCAACGGCTTCCTTCTCCCTGCCCCCCCATCCCACCCCATGCTGATTTTTTTTCATATATGTATATATATTTTTTTGCCTGTCCTCTCCGGGGAAGTTTGTATGGGGCTACTAGCTCACATGCGGGATCAGAATGGTGTGAATGACAGCCGCACTGTGTCATGAAGGTGGTGGTGGTTTCAGCACGAGAGACCAAATAAGAAGAAAGCTGAGAGAGGGGGGATCCGTTTTTGGATGACAAAGGATGGGTAAGTGAACTTTTGTTGTTTCCTTCTTAGCAAAGCTGATCCTCTTGGCTTCCTATTCTCAGTCGTGGCATTAGCTGATAAAAGACGGGGAAACAGGCAAAAAGCAGCAGCCTCTGAGTTTGCCAGTTGACTCGGTATAGTTGCTATTATATTTTTAGATCATTTTCCCTTTAGTAGTTTTTTTTTTTTTTAATCCGTAAATGCATAACACGGACTTAAACAGACTCGAGAGAAATATCTTTAAGACGGTCTCTTCTGTATGTGTTTCTACAGCTTGGGAATTGAGCATGAGATAAATATTGTGTTTGCTTCTATTTCTTGATAATATTAACCATGCTTGTGTTTCTGGTCGCTGTCAGGAAGATTGTTAACACTTTACTGCGTGTGTGTAGGGGTGGGGTCGTTACTTTATCGGAGGTCGCACAAGGGTTTGTTTTATCTTTGAAGCTGTATCCTGAACACAGCTTCCAAATTTCCAGCAGTCATTTGCCAGTCTTATTTTTTCAAGTGTGACTGGCTTTTTTCCCCCCTTTCTCCTGTCTGGAAGAGCCAGAATGTATTTCAGTGAGATTGTAGCTGGCAAGAGGACAGAGAGCAAGATCGGGTTTCAAATTAAAAACAAAACAAAATAAAACAAAAAAAACTGGTCAAGTAAAAGAAGGAGAGTTTTTTGATTAGAGGTTTGGCTGGTTGCCCCTTGGTTAAAATATGGATATTTAAGAGAAATAAACTACAGCACACAGGTTCCCCCCCCCCCCCACCAACCGTTAAGAAATAATAAATCCACTGTTGACAGAGGAAAGAAATCCCTTACCATGCTGTGACTTGGAAATGCAGCACCAGTACCAGTACATTGCAACTTTGCAGGTTTTCTGAAGTTAATAGAGGTAGGGGAGAAAGAAAAAAAAGTCAGAAATTTGTGCAGGTCCGGATGGAGGAGAGTGGGGGTAGTAGTCTACTGCTTCACTCCTTGTTTATCCCCCAAATTTGCAAAAACAACTACCTTAAAAATAATAGTAAACCTAATACTACACAAGATTATTGTGCATTTTATGCAAATATTTAATAAGAATTTGACAATCTTAACTTTGGACTGTTCTGCGTTATCAGCAGTTAGGGTTCTGAGCTGGTGTATCCCTGGAGGCACAGTAGGCAGATCTTCCTGAATGCTAAGAGCATATATGCTTATTAACACATTGAGAGTACCTTGCACTGTTATTAGTCTTCATACTATGCTTCATTGGCTGTCCATACTAGTCCTGATGCCATTTTTTCAGAGCTCATGCATTGTTATTCCATTATGCAATAAGGATACAATTTCAGGCAGGGCAAACTTGGGTTACCTTGACAGCTTACTGAAGCTCTTTTGTCAAATCAAAGCCTGTTTGCTCAACTAGGAAAAATGTTCAAGTATGGGGTTTTCTAAGTCACATTTTTGCCATTACCAGAAGACTTGGTACTCTTCCTTCTGATACTGATGTTCAACAGAGTGACTAGCCAAATATTGTTGTTATTACAGTGTTGGCATTAAGGGATAAGACAAGCTGTGTGCTTTTCAGTGTTGATGAACATATGAACTCATGAAACTCGGGAAGGCTTTTCTTTAGCTCCACGGCACTGTGGTGATTTGAAAATCAAGGAAGAAAGAAGGAAACCTCATTATAGCAAACATGCAACACTGAAGAAAATAAGACTTCAAATGTTAAATACATTGTTCTTATATCAACTGTCCCATTACTACACTAGATGAAATGCCCCTGATAGCGGGTAAACTGGTGGTGATTTATATTAATAGCTTTACAATGTGCATTTGTCTTCTTTTTAATATTGTAGGTTTCCGTTTAATTACGCAGCTGAGAGGCATGCGTGTGGTGCTAGTGCTCCTTCCTACACTTCTGCTTGTTATGCTCACGGGGGCTCAGAGAGCTTGCCCAAAGAACTGCAGATGTGATGGCAAAATTGTATACTGTGAGTCTCATGCTTTCGCAGATATCCCTGAGAACATTTCTGGAGGGTCACAAGGCTTATCATTAAGGTTCAACAGCATTCAGAAACTCAAATCCAATCAGTTTGCCGGCCTTAACCAGCTTATATGGCTTTATCTTGACCATAATTACATTAGCTCAGTGGATGAAGATGCATTTCAAGGGATCCGTAGACTGAAAGAATTAATTCTAAGCTCCAACAAAATTACCTATCTGCACAATAAAACATTTCACCCGGTTCCCAATCTCCGCAATCTGGATCTCTCCTACAATAAACTTCAGACATTGCAATCGGAACAATTTAAAGGTCTTCGGAAACTCATCATTTTGCACCTGAGATCTAACTCATTAAAGACTGTGCCGATAAGAGTTTTTCAAGACTGTCGAAATCTTGACTTTCTGGATTTGGGTTACAATCGTCTTCGAAGCTTGTCCCGAAATGCTTTTGCTGGCCTCTTGAAGTTGAAGGAGCTCCACTTGGAGCACAATCAGTTTTCCAAGATCAATTTTGCTCATTTTCCACGTCTCTTCAATCTCCGCTCAATTTACTTACAGTGGAACAGGATTCGTTCCATTAGCCAAGGCTTGACATGGACTTGGAGTTCCTTACACAACTTGGATTTATCAGGGAATGACATCCAAGGAATTGAGCCGGGCACATTTAAATGTCTACCCAATTTGCAAAAATTGAATTTGGATTCCAACAAGCTTACCAACATTTCACAGGAAACTGTCAATGCATGGATATCATTAATATCCATCACTTTGTCTGGAAATATGTGGGAATGCAGTCGGAGCATTTGTCCTCTATTTTATTGGCTTAAGAATTTCAAAGGAAATAAGGAAAGCACCATGATATGTGCAGGACCTAAGCATATCCAGGGTGAAAAGGTTAGTGATGCAGTGGAAACATATAATATCTGCTCTGAAGTTCAGGTGGTCAACACAGAAAAATCACACCTGGTACCCCAAACGCCCCAGAAGCCTCTGATTATCCCTAAACCTACATTTTCCAAATCTGACCCCACCCAGCCCGCCCTTGAAACACCAAGCCCTTCCCCAGGGTTTCAGATTCCTGGCACAGAGCAAGAGTATGAGCATGTTTCATTTCACAAAATTATTGCAGGAAGTGTGGCTCTCTTCCTCTCGGTGGCCATGATCCTCTTGGTAATCTATGTGTCTTGGAAACGCTACCCAGCCAGCATGAAACAACTTCAGCAACACTCTCTTATGAAGAGGCGGCGGAAAAAGACCAGAGAGTCTGAAAGACAAATGAATTCCCCTTTACAGGAGTATTATGTGGACTACAAGCCTACAAACTCTGAGACCATGGATATATCCGTTAATGGATCTGGGCCCTGCACATATACCATCTCTGGCTCCAGGGAATGCGAGGTATGAACCATGATCCTCCTAAAAGCATTTCTACTACGGGGAAGGAGAGGTAAATGTTTGAAGCTCTAGAGGTGTCTCTAATCACTAGAAAGATTAATGACCCTTTTGCTTTTGGGTTTTTGCTCAGTGTGAAAGGTTACTTAATTAAATTACAACCACCAGGAAATTGACTCTTTTTTTTTTTTTTTAATGGTTGAAACTTGAAGGAAGTTCATTCAAGGATGAGATTAAGTTGGAATAAAGCACTATGTTAAAACATCTGTTTTTTAACAGTTTGTATACAGGGGTTGGACTTACAGACACACATATACACAAAACTCTTTTCATTCTAAAATTAATGTCTGGTTCTTATTGTTTGACTTCTGTAATGGAGTAAAGAAGGAGGGACCGGCTTAATTTAAAAACAAAGTGATTTTACCAAAATTCCAGGAGGTAATGAAGATTTAAACCAAAGAGCAATTTACCCAAGGGTTGATTTTGTTGTAAATTTTTAGTTATAATTAAAGCATGCAACAGGGATCTCACAAGGATAACTGTTTCTGTGTTACTTGCCATTTAGTTATTATACCAGCATAGAGAATGTCAGAGGCCTACTGTGTAATTGTGTTAGGCTTTTAAAGATGTCTTTCTGCCTTCTTTCCTTCCTTCCTTCTTTCCTTCTTTCCTCCCTTGGTTCCTTCCTTCCATTTTTTTCTTTTTTTTAATTACTGGACATAGATCACTCTTCATAGGTTTTCTTAAGTGCTGGCTATTTGTATGTAATCAGAATGATACTTAAATTCCATGTTTTCGCTATGTCCCTGGTAACTAAAATCAGGTCATGATATTGTGGATGATTTAGCAATAACATAATGACAGGCATAACAGGGACTGTTTGTCAATTTTGCTGTCATCCCCAAAAGAAATAATGTGTATTCTTGTTAAACTTATCCAAAACTAAGTGATGCAAATATTTATAAATAAAGAGAGAGATTTGAGTTCTGGGTATTTTCCCTTTCTGTAACATTAGCTTCAAATGAAGGCATTCCATGTTACATTATTTTCATTTTCATGAGGATATATTTGGATCCAGTTTCTGATTATTTAATTTTAAATATCACTTTTAGTAACATGCTTAGGAGTAGGAAATAGACAAATATTTCCAACCTGTTGATAAGTTAGTACTGGATGCAAATTGTTCTTTGCTTGTACAAAAAGTACAAAGACTGACTGCCAAGGCCTTGTTGCTGAATAAAGTAATGGAGAGAGACAGTTCTGGCAGTATGTTGTCTTAATATCTGATTTTAGATGATTAGTTTTTCAAAGTAAAGTTTTCATGAGTATTGAATGAGAATTTTTCCTTTTATTACTAGTTACAACAGTTGGAAAAAATAATTTGCTCTTTGTTAATATATACCCAGTCTTTCTGTAGTCCTAAAGGCAGATGCTAATGAAAATGTTTTGGACAAGGCACTGAGTTTGAAATATTCTCAAACCTAGTAGAATTTGGAATACTGAGATATTCTTCACAGAGTTCATTTTCTCCTTTTTGTGTGCAATTGGATATAAGAAAAGTAATCCCCAAAATAAATGCTTAAAAGAAACCTGTATGAGCAATTGATCTTAAAAATTAAAGAGAATAAAAAATTTTATATGAAAGCCTTAACAAGGCTTGATGCTTTTATTGCAGGTTGATATTTATATAATATACATGAATATAGTAAAACAAGTTCATCTTGTTTTATTCTAAGTTCTCTTTATATTTTGAGATCCTCTTAAAGGCTAATAATATAAGAAGAAAAGGAAAATCCAGGTCCATTCATTCATTTTCTCTTGACTTTTGTAGTAGAAAGGTGATTTTTATTTATAATAATCACCAAGAAAGAAGAAAGATTCTTAAAGAACTAGGACTTGAGTATAGTGGTTCTAAAACTTTTCCAGGGATCTTCAGTTCCAGAGATTATTCTTTCAAAGACCCTAGGCTTTACCATGATAGGAACAAAATAAAAACATGTTTTATTCTATAAAAACGTGTTTCAAAACACATTTTGATACTATATGTTATATAGAGGGGAGTTTATGGTCATGAAATTGCAGTGGCTTTGTTAGAGATGAATATGGTGTTAAGACATTACATAATGAAGAATTTAATTAAATATTGTAATGAAGAGAGTTGAAATGGCAGCCTTGCTGAAGTAGATCAAACTCTCCATGCCCTAAAAAGTGGAAAATGGTAGGCTATACATTTAAGATCATTAACTCAAGGGGTCCAATAAAGCTACATTTGAATGAATGTTAACTTGTTTTGAAACACAAGTACATAAGAACATTGCAGCAACCACTCCCGCTTTTTGACAGGATGTTCAATCTATTAGAGTTATAGGTGGACATAAGAAATGAGAAAAAGCAAATTATTAGAAATTGTGATGACAACCATAACTTCCCCTTATGTCTTTGTCACCATGGAGTAAAATTTCTCCTGTTGAGAAAATTTCTGTACAAAATGAAGCCAAGAGAGGAGTGATTTGTCCAAGTTTATGATTTTTTAAGACTATAGAGGTATGCTGAGTTTTAGCCTGGTGTTTTCATAAACCTCACATATCAGTAGCTTAGAAAAATAAAGAATCATTAATATATTTATAATGCAATTTTGTGAGGTAGGCTTTTTTTTAATTCAAAACACCAAACTCTACCCAATAAAGCCATAAATATTTAACTAGAAAACTTAGCACTAAATGCTAATTTTCTAAGACAGTGCCTTGAAAAAAAAAAAAACTTCATTAAATTGAAAATTCCACTCATACAACTGTTATATTTAGTTATCATGATCCAAATATAGTCAAAATATTCATTTTGTCTATTTCTTTTAAGAAGAAAATAGAAATATTAAGACCCCTAATTAGAATGGTGTCTGTGAGCTAACACACAAATACAGCATTCAATAAGTGAATAACTTTGGCCACGTGCCCATTCTATGCTCAGACTTTGAAGGAGAATGTTATAATACCTTAGGCAGTAAAAATCTCTTATATCTATAAAAGAAGAATAGAGTAGATAGTTGTAATAATTAATATGATATATGGCACAATTCTAATAGATATTTGCATCTCAATCATCATACCTTGAGTGGAGCAGTGTGCTTGGTTGAACTGAATCATTTAATTTGTCTGTCCTCAATATGTGCTCAGAAAGAACTTGAAGCCAAAAGGAAACAGCTTTGCCTAAAGCTTAGTAAAGTGTTATTAAAAGAGAAAATTGCAAAAGAGAGAGAGAGAGAGAGAGAGAGAATTGCAATACATACTTTTGAAAATAGTTTGTGAAATTTTGCATAGGTTTATCTCACTAAAAATATTACAAGAATTATGAAGTTACTTTATTCTGCCTACCAAAACTTTACTTAAAAGTTATACAGAACAAAATTTTGAATACCTGTTTTTTCTAGGATATGTTGTATCAATTGAAAATTGCAAGGACCTTTATAAAACTAGTCATTGTGAATATAGGAGAGGAGAGAACAGTTCAAGTTTGTCTTGCGAATTAAAAAAAAGTAGAATTGGTAAAACCTTAAAATGAATGAATGAATGAAAGTGGTCTCTAAAGAAATCGTCCATCCAAAGTATTTTAGAAATTAACTAATTGAAATATAAAGTTTAATGATCCCATAATGCTAAGAGGGCTGCCATTAGGAGAATGGGAGTATAGGTGACATTAGATATATATTTTCCAAATATTTGATATTTTAGTTAACAATTCTTCAAAATCAAGTAAAATATAAATATAATGGTTGTAATTGAGCTTACATTATTTCTTTCACTGCTGTGCAGTGGGTGGTATAGACCATTTCTAACAGTTTATATTTATTGAATATATTATGTCAGATCCTAACTATTGATTTAAGAGGGATTATTAACTTTTTACACTTTAGAAATTGGCATTTTAAACTATACTAAATGAATTTCCAAGAGCTTAAAGTGTAATGTGTTCAAAGAGGATTTCTAAGTGAAGCAGTCCCAATATCCTTGTTTAACTCATATTTTCCAATACAAAACTATAGAAAATAAACGTCATTTTGGTGGCTTACTACTGCTTTTATGTCAAAATGTTATAACTGAAACTCTACTTTGTACAGTCACATAAAGTATATTTATGTGTGTGTATATGTGTGTGTATGAATTTGTATGTGTATGTGTTCATATACACAGAGAGAGAAATATATTTCCATTAAAGTTCCTGTCTATTTTGGACATTTGAAATATTTGTGAAGGAATCTTGGGTTATAATTATCAGAATTTGTTAGGGAACATACTTCTTAAATGTTTAAACCGCTCTAAAATTATTAGTATTTCATGTTTAGATAGTCTTAATATTCTTTTTCAAAAAACAGAATTTAAACTACACATTGCCATTTCTGGTGTGACTATGGGCCAGTCACTTCATTTCTCTGTGACCCATCACTAAATGAGTATATGCAGCTAGCACAATATATCCCAACTCAAAGCATTCCTCAGCCTAGTAAACTTTGTAAACTGTGTGCAGACAGTCCCAGGACTAAAAGGGCAAGATGGGATATGGAGGAAAAACTGTTATTTATATCCATTGTCAGTGAGAAAAGAAAGAACTTCTTGAGTTAATAAAAATTGGTGTGCTCAGGTGAGGAACACTGTAATTTCTTTATGCTTGAGGGGAAAATACATAATGCACATGCATGCGCACATATGCGTACATGCAGGCACACACACAAATTTATATATCTTTTAAATTCTGCCAGGTAACTAGTTATTTTGAAAGCATTTAAAATATGACTTTTTTTTTAATCTATTGTCTGAATTTGATTCAATTAAAATCTATTTGTGAATAGAGTTTTCATTAGAATCTGCAAATGGTAGTGGTGAAGAGTGATAGCTTCCAAGAAAGCCTGACATGGTTAATTTAGGAAAGATTTTAAACTGATGATAAGGGGTTCAGTTACTGTTTCTAGAATAAGTTTGCTTTAGCATGTCATGGGCAAAATTTTAGTAAGATTCCAAATTGAAAAGTCTGACTATGTTATGTTCTTAGGAATGTACCACTTTTGACACACCCCAGTAATCTTCGTATAATTTCAGAATTTTTCTTCTGTATTGAATAAAATCTTCGCATCCTAGTTATCAGGAATTACATTTATAGATAGCTTTATGCATTGGAAGTTGCTCAGTAATATTAGCATTGGGGACTTGGTGACTCAT